ACCCCCTCCACCTTACCCCCACCCCCACCCCCATCTTTTACTTAATATTTTATGCTGAACATTGCGTATATGTCATTAAACTTTCCTTTAAAACCTATTTTTAATGATTTTGAAATACATCATGTGTCTATAGGGGAGTTACCAACTTCCAGCTGTTAGGCATTTGTTTTCTTTCTTTTTTGGGGGGTCATTATGCATAAGGCAAATTTCTTGGTTCACAAATCGTTGTGGGCATCTGTGATTATTTTCTTAGAAAAATAAATTCCAGAGATGGCATTGCTATGTCAAAGAGAATGGACATTTTTAAGGCTTTTGATATATATTGCCAACTTGCTCTCAGAAAAGGTTGTGCCAATTTATTCTTCCTCCAGCACTCTATATTCTATTTTTATGAAGATGACAGAGCAATTATAGGAGGCTAGATTAGAACAGGACTTTCAAGATCAGCACTTACATCTGTGTGTGCAGTTGATCACATGCACCATAGACAAGGAGACAGAAGGTAGATAACTTGTCCAAGGACACAAGGCAAATTAATGGTTGAATCCTAGTGATATTAGTTAATGATAAGCAATAGATGGGTAGAAAATGCCTATGTGGGAGTAGAAATATTATTTTTCAGTCATTTTACAGTCTAATTACCAAATGTCATTCTTTCATTTTTCTGGTTGCTTTATTCTGATGACTTCAGAAGCTAAGCTAGCCCACATTGTTAGAAGTAAATCAATCTTGTGCTGAGGAGCAATTTCAGATAGCAGTGGGAAACCTGAGAGGAGGGGGCGGGGTGAGTTCAGCCACATCTACAAAGCTCCCTACAATTGTTTTGGGGTTGCTTATCTATAGGGTGAACACAAATTGTTTTTGCAAATGTCAATTTGCTGCAGAAACAACCTAATAGCAACATGAATGAAAATAAAAACTGAACTAGAAAATATCTACAACTCTGCCACTACAAGTTTTTGTTGTTGTTGTTGTTAATCCCTATTGGCCATTTAGGTTATTTACCAATTTTGAATATTTTTAAGTAATGTGGCCAAGATAGGTAAATTATATACATGTATTTTCTCTTTTAGATATGTTCTTTGTAATTCCTTAGAAGGCGATTAACTACCTTAAAAATGTGAACATTTTTGTGTGTTTTAATCTGTGCTGCAAGAGCTTTCCAAAATGGTTAGATAACTAGATTATGTCAATACATATTATGAAGTATTTTTAGATGCAATATAATATTCAATGATTTGTTTAAAATATTGTAAGTTATTTTATTTATTTATTATTATTATTTTATTTTTTTTATTGATTAAGGTATTATATATTTGTCCTTATCCCCCTAGTGCTTCATCTGTCCCCCACCCCCGCTCATGTCCTTACCCCCCTGGTGTCTGTGTCCATTGGTTATGCTTATATGCATGCATACAAGTCCTTTGGTTGATCTCATCCCCTTACCCCCATCCTCCCTTGCCTTTCCTTTGAGGTTTGACGGTCTGATCAATGCGTCTCTGGATCTGTTTTTGTTCATCCGTCTATGTTGTTCATTATATTCCACAAATGAGTGAGATCATATGATATTTATCTTTCTCCAAATGACTTATTTCGCTTAGCATAATGCTCTCCAGGTTTATCCATGCTGTTGCAAATGGTAGGAGTTCCTTCCTTTTTACAGCAGTGTAGTATTCCATTGTGTAGATGTACCACAGTTTTGTAATCCACTCATCTTCTGATGGGCACTTAGGCTGTTTCCAAATCTTAGCTATGGTAAATTGTGCTGCTGTGAACATAGGGGTACATATATCCTTTCTGATTAGTGTTTCTAGTTTCTTGGGATAAGTTATTTAAGCCAACTCTAGCTTCTGTCCAGGGAGCCATGGCTTCTGGTCTCATAGAGGATTTTCTCATAACACTTTTGGTTAGGTGACTTTGTCATTTTTGTCCAGATTGGAGGGGATGAATGGCTGTTTAACCAATTTGGCTGGCTCTTAGCTGACCTCTGTAGATTTTGTTTTTGTCTGGGTTTGTATTGCCTAGAGCAGGGGTGGGCAACCTTTTTGTGAGTGCTTGCCAAAACCAGCAAAATCTCTGACTCAAAATTCTTCTGCGTGCCAACCCTAATTTTTTGAGAACATGTTAGGTCTACTTGGTATCTCTTAAGGTGTACGTATGTGAAGAACCTTGAAGAAATAATAAAATTCATTCGAGCGACAAAAACACAGTATATGATGATGAAAAATACATTTATTTTTTAATGTATACATGTACACTGATAGTCCGACAGAAAACTTTATGACTCCGTTTGATATTATCAGTGGGACTTTTGCTGCTGCATCACTGATGACAGAGATTTTACATCAGGTTTATATTTCGTGACCTTCAGAAATATGCACGAGCTACTACTTTCATCCGTCAGGCTACTCCTATTACGAGACTTAACAAAATTCATCACTGAGAACAAAGATTCACAAGCGTATGTGGATGAAACCAAAACACTGGTCGGATCTAGGAAAGCAGGGAGAGTTAAGGCAGAGGCATAGAAATTGCTCTTCCCCT